TGTGTAGGACTAGCAGAGTCTCATCCAGACCGTGTTGGACTCCTCAGCATCTCCTCTGCAGCGTCTCCTAATGCTCCTTGTCAGGATGTCGATTTCACCTGAATTTTGCTAAGTCCTGAGTGAAACTTTAGCTGATGAATCTTGGCCTCTATGAGCCAGGCACTGTCACCATCCAGACTTCCCGGTCTTGCCTGTAACCAGCTCCTTTGGCAGTCAGGCTCAGTCCTCGTTGTCAGGCCCACCCTGGAGAAAAGCGAATTGTGTCTTGGCCACTGCTGCCACTTCACCAGCCTATGTTTGAAAAGTAATAGCACACACATAGTGTCAGGTTCCTTATGCAGCCATGGTTGGCAGGCACATGGATTTGTGGAAACTTTATAATAATTGCAAAGGCCACCAAGCACCTGAAACCTTCAATTCAGGAAAGGAGACAAACATCAGGTTCTTAGCACTCACATGGAAAGGCTGGTCACCCCAAATTGGTCACTGCCTCAGAGAGTCCTATACAGTTCTACATGACAGTAACTACTTACTGTAAAGCTCACTGCAAGGCTGTGTCTAGCTTTTGGCAACACAAAAGTTGTAGAAGTTGAATATTTCTTCTTTATATTCCATGGAGAACTATATTTTTACTTTGGATTGATCTGAAAACAATGGCCCCTAACATTAGCTTTCTATGCTTTGTTCTGAAATAGTGAGGATACATGAACTAATACAAAAGTGACTGGAGAAAGTCTTTAGTAAACCCTTTCGGGGGTAAAAGGACCGTTAGTGAAATAGTGCTCATTGTTTTTTCTAATTCTAGTTTTTAATTTTTCAGGGTTTATGTTATTTATAGATTATGATTCTTAAATGATAGAATGCGTGATCCCTTTGAATATTAGTATCATGGACCTTCCTCTTCTTGGTCTTCAAAAGGACTATTCCCTACTTCTACTTTAAATAACAACAACGATGACGTTTCAGGGTTTGTCAGTTTACAATGCACTTTCACACGCGGGGTGTATTTTTAATCCCACATTAACTATTTGGTGGAAACAAAGGTTATCACCATATTATAGATAAGAAAACTGAGGCTCAAGGGTTTAAGAGCCTTGTCAAGTCATGCAGCCAGTTACACTGTGGAGCCATGTTGGTCTCTGCACTCCTGGGGATGAGAACCATGGCTGTGTCCCTTCTAATCTTTCCAAAACTGGCTTCATCAAGGTGGTCTGAAGAAAAGGAATGCTTAGGTTTAACAGCAGCCAGTGGCCTCCAGAATGGCCTCACAGGCCCTTAGTACTCGGCAGCCAGCTCTCTTCCTGTTAAATGAGAACGGGATTTCCAGCCCCCTAAAGTAACTTCCTATTTAATGGCCTTCATCTTTGCATGCCTTTGGTGCTCCTTTGTTACTCAGTTAGTGAGAACACCCTGTCATCACCTTTTCGTCCTAGATAACAAAACTCCCTGGAAAGAATAGGTGCTTTGATTAATGGAGAAGGAACTAGGAAGAAACTGACTAACCCTAGTGGAGACCAGCACCAACAAGTTTGTAGGGCTAAAGCCAGCACAAATCCAGTCCATCCTGATTAGAGGGGCATTGGAGTTTTTTACCAACTTGTTCATGGAAACCCCATTTTGTCTTTAGATGTGGAGGTATCCACTCTATCCCCATGAGCATAGGAATGAAGCCCAGGAGCTCTAGAAGGGTGGAAATATGGGGCCAGGCATAGTTTAAGTGACATAGCACCCAGCCCTATGCTTTCTGGAGAAAGCTGTGCTCTCCAGAGAAATGGGCAATGCTTTCGTATCAACTCATCACATATTTACTGCAAACCAGCCTTGTCTTCAAAAAGGGAGATAATCTAGAAAAGATGATAAAGCAAATAGACAAGCAATGATAGTGCTGGTAGAGTAAAACACATGCTGTAAAATGTACCAAGAAAAGCGTATTGGGAGCAAGTGAACGTGTTTGCAGGAGACTTCATCGAAGTGGGTTCATCTGGAAATATGTGATGGAGGCAGTGCTACTGGAGTTGTTCTGAATGGAAGGGGCGGCTTTGCATGGAGGAGGTGCAGAGGAAGCATTCAAGGCAGGAAAAAGTGCTGCAGGAAGTCAAGAAGGCAGCAGGAATTGGGGCTTTGCAGGGAATGATAGGTCCATACTTTACCAGAGATTATGATAGGTATAAAGACATAGTGAGAAAATTAGTCTGTTTCCTTTACATTTAAATTGGTAAACTTTTGACACCACCAGGACTTTGTAGGGTTCTGAGAAGAGGCAGTAGTGAAGTAGGAAAAGGAGCTCACTGCTCCTGCCATGACTTTTGTTATTTTCCCTCTGGGAAAAAAAAAAAAAAAAGGAGCTTGGAACCTTCCAGTCTGCATGTTCTAGGAGTTCTGCCTATGGATTGGACACTTAGATCCACCTATGGATTGGACACCTAGATCTAGGCTATTCAGAGTCCCTACTAAATGGCAGAGTCCAGCTCTTCTGGCCAAACCAAGGACACTAACAATCGCTTTAGCCATGTGCCTGCTGCCTAGATCAGAACTCAGAGAAACTGCAGGGCCCACACAACCTGTCCGTTCAGGGATTAGGCCCAGATGGCCTGAGAGATACTCACTAAGTCACTGGAAACTGTGTCAACAGGTCCGTCTCCAGTGTCTGCCTAATCCTCCCTGCATTTCCAGGGCAGAACTTGAGCATCTGGGCTTCCGGGATCTTTTGATCAGGGACTATGCAGGGTGGGTTTGAGAAAAGAGACTCCAAATTAAGCAGAGAGAAAAGAAGGAGGTCCAGAGCTTCTCACTGTTCTTTTCCCTCTAAGAACCATTCCCCCACAACCCTGTCTTTCAGTAAGGATACGTGGGCAACAGGGACCAGCAAATTCCCTCATAACACAAGCAACTCTAGGAAATAGCTCTCTGGCTTTCAGATTTGGTTTTGCTCTTTTCTGAAGGTGAAGCCCAAGATTATGGAATGTGCTCATCTGCTACTTATTGAGAGAGATGTGAGTGGCCACCCTGCGGCCATTCACTGTATCTTATGACTGTTGTGTGCTCCTGCGTGAGGTGAAGATGTCTGGTGAGCAGCATTCTTTAAAGGTTGGGTTTTTTGGCTGCCTTCATAATGGCAGAAATTTGAAAGGCAGCCATGTCAGGGTTAACACTTACCTGCCACCTGACCCAAGAGGATCCAGATATCCAGGTAGCTTACCAGAGTATCTCCCTGTCCCCTTCATCTGCCAGCCAATGAGGACCTGACGGCAGACACTGGTGAAGCTGCAGTGGAAGAGACACTTCATTAGACAGATGATGTTTAGCCTGAAGAGCAGTCTGCCCCAGTCTCCGTGTGTGTGTGTGTGTGTGTGTGTGTGTGTGTGTGTGTTAAGTACATCCCTGTTTGGGGCAATCAGGAGATGATGACCATGATGTAGGACTAGAGGGAACCCAAAGAAAAGCACCCCCTCCATGAAAACCCAGTTGTTCTCCTGGGCTGAACTTACAGATGCTTTTGCCAGACATTCTGGATTTTGCCACTGAACAAGGGGGAAGAGGGAAGGAAGAGAAGTGTCAGTATGAAGAGAGATTCTTTCCTTTGGCTTTGTCCCCAGCATCTCACAGGGCCTCTGGATTTGGGAACTTCCCCTACTTGTTACTCTCTGTGGTTCCACAGCTAGTTCCCATAGTAGTTAAGCTGGAACACACCATGTTGAGCTGGGTTAAGTCAAAGGGAATTTCCCAGACTTAAAATAGGAAACTTCAGCCAAGATGCAAAGCAGAAGGATTAAGATACTTGGCTTTGAAGTTGAACAGGTTTGGGTTCAAATCCTATCTTTGCCGTTTATCTTCTGTCTTTGGGAAGTTAAGTTAGCTAATGATAATTTCTTCATCTATGAAATTGGGATAATATCTTTGCTACCATAGGGTTGTTGCGAGGGTTAAATAAAATTATATGTGCAGTTTTTAGCACAGCGTCTGTACATAGTAGGCACTCAGTATTAGCAAATAAAATGAAGTAAAATAAAACTAGCAAACAACAAGTCACTGATGTCAACCTAAATAATAACCATAGAGAGGATCTCTTAAAAAAGAAAAAGAGATATTTATTCGAGAATAGAGCATCGCAATGGGAATACACATGCCATAGCAAACTGCATGCATATTCAGGGAGGTAAAGGAAAACTAGCAAAACTAGGTAAAGGAAAATGAAAGTTCTTACAGGAAAAGTGATGAAAATTACATAATTATATGAAAATGCATATTCTTGGCTACAAAGATCAATAGCAATGGTGATGCTAGTATAAGGTGGGACAGGCAGTTGCTGGGCAGATGTCCTCACAGAGCGTTTATTGTGTAAGGCCGTTATGGCCTTTGTGCAAGGTTGTGGGTTTTGCAGTCTTTTGTGATAGCTTTGTTATCAGGTGTACAAGCATGAGAAGCCTCTCTTCACAGGCTTCCCTAGCATGGAGCACAGAAGGTATTAACTTTTTTTGTTTTAATTAAAAATGAGACCCAACTTTAAAGAGATGAAACTGGCTTTCGTGTGTCTCATACACTAGGTGTGAAAGGCACTTGCAAAACAAGAATTCAGAAAATGTTCTAAGTAGTCACATCACCACAGAAACATGTGTGACCTCCCAGACTGACTACTTAGTAAAAGTTAACCTCAAGAGATATATTCTTGAATATATATATTCAGATATATATCCGTTTGTATTAAAAACGGAGAGAGTCCCATGACTTTGCAGGCTCATGGAGACAAGGCATGTTCACCAGGACCCCAGCCTGTGCCAAGCACTGCTGAACCCATCACAATGGAGAGATGCTTCTCTGCCAAGAGGACTCAGCTGCAGAAGGCACCAAACGTGGTAGGAGGGGCCCGCTAATTAGACCAAAGCAGCCACACATCAGCAGGTAAAACAGACAAGAGGAGGTGGGGCTGGGCTGGGCTAAATCTTGGATGAATCAAGCCTTCCCATAGGGCAGGATAACCTCTCTAAAACATGAGCCTTGGTTAAAACCCCTGTAAAAGGTTCTCATCACACTGACCTGGTACTCCTCACACCACTTAACAGCCACTTGTCTCATCCCACCTGGGCCTTAGGTAAGTCCCCTCAGAAGAAATCTCTTTTTCATTCTCAGTGTCTTGGTGATCTGAGCTCATAAACCTGGGACTGTCAGGTATGGGCTGTGCGTCCTTCAGAGCTAGCTGTGGGCACTGGGCGACCAACGCTACCATTGGGAAACACGCTCTCCTGAAGCAATCAGGCTTTCTTCTCCCGCCTGGGTCTGACCTGGCAGCAGCTCCTCTCACTGGAAACTGTGTGGGCAGCTGCTACGGGGCTGCCCACGTGCCTTCCTGGATCAGCAAAGGTTTCTTGTTTCTGAGGCTCTGGAAGCTTCTTTGCAGTGCTGAGAGTCTGTGGGAACAGAATCAGTTTATTTATGCCAACCTAGACAATAAGATCAAGCTGTGTCATGGATGAAGGGGCTTACATGATTTCCCTCTCCTACCCCAGGGTGATATTTAGGCAAAATATTTGTAGATTTATTCTAAGGAATCTAAAATGTAACTAAAAGTTCATCTTATTATTTTTATTATCTAAAGGTCAATGGTTAAAGTTGACTACACGGTTTGCAAAAAAAGAAAGATATTTTTCATCTATGTTGAGGAAAAATATTCTGTTTTTTTACCCTGGTGAAAAGTTTGCCTGAAATTGTTGGTTACCAGGACCTAGAAAGTGTTTCCCCTGAACAGCCCACCTTTTGCTATAACCTACTAAGTCCTCAGGGCCACACTGACCTGCTTTTTCCAGCACTCAAGTCTCTTTCCTCCATTTCTTCTCTCTTCTCCTATGTCTACCTCATCCCATCCTCGTCCTGGTTTCCAGCTGCTGCAGCCTCTGTCTCCCCTTGCATTTGAGGCTTGTCATCTTTGATACCATCTCATCCGTTGGGTATCTCCAAGGCTTCTGCTTAATGAATCTTCAAGTCTCTATGCCTCTTGCTCATGCTCAGCCTACCTCCAGATTCCTAGCTAATGAAAAAGAAAAGCTTTCCCTTTGATTAGGACCCAACTCATAGGTCACCAGAAATCTGGGCCTGATGGAGCCATATGTCATTTGGGCAAGCTGACTTCTCTGATAGGTCCCAGGACTGCGGAGAGAGGTGACATGCAGAGAAACCTGGGCCCTCAGAACTGGAAGCCCTCCCACCTAAGCAGGTGCCCCCCATCGTGAGCATTCACAGCAGGTGGTAGCCCAGCTTATTCCTGAACACCTTCCCCAAAAAAGCAAGAAAGGAGGGCTGGGTCCCTGGAATTCCTGCTTGGCTCCCACTCAAGACAAGAGTCGACTCACACGTGTGTTTACTTCCTCTTGGTGTTCCCAGTGGGACCCTAACACCCTTGTGATAAGCAAATAAATCCTGTCCACAGGATACATTCTAGAAAGCCTATTGCATTTGGGTTAAGGAGAGATGGATTCTAGATGTCTTGGTTCCTTAAAAATTGTGGGCCTAACTTCTCTGAGTCTGTTTCCTCACCTACAAGAAAAAGTGGAAATAATAAGGATTACAAGAGATGATGCACAGGAAAGTGCTTTGTGAGCAGCAGAGTGATTACATAGGTGTGTATATATGTTTAATGGCATCATAATTATGTTTAATAGGGAGCACTTAGTATAAGCCAGGCATCTGCCAACCACTTTTTATGAATTATGTCTTTAAATCCTCACAATAATCCTATCAAATACTAATATCACCTTCATTCACAATGAGTAAACTCAGGCATGGAGAGGCAGAGCAACTTGTCCCAGCTCACACCATAGGTAGGTAGGGAGCCAGCATTTAATTCTGACTCAGGAGCCTGCCTCCATCCTGTGTGCTCCTTTTTCCCATACATACAATGCATTGCATAGGAAAGGACAAAGGAAAACCAAAAGCAGAGCTGAACATGCAAAGAAAGACCTAGCCGCAGACATGCTCTAAAGGAAACAACGGAGTTGAGTATGGGGCCTCCAAGGAGACTTTTCATCTTTTCCAGGTTGACTTCAAAGATGCCTCAGTTACTGCGAAACATTAATGGTATCATCGACGCCTTCAGGCGCTACGCAAGGACGGAGGGCACCTGCACAGCCCTCACCAGAGGGGAGCTGAAAAGACTCTTGGAGCAGGAGTTTGCCGATGTGATTGTGGTATGGCGTGCTGAGCTGAGCAGAGAGGGGACGTAGCAGGAGACTGAAACCTTGTTTGCCTGCAGAGGCCTTGCCTGGGGAATCTGCAGAGGCAGCAGCTAAACCCAGGCCTGCCGGGACAGATGGCAGCTGTGCAGGCAGGAAAAGAGAAGGTGAAACAAGGGATGGTCACAGGAGTTGGCGAGTCCTGGCCCTTTACAGAAAGTACCTTGGTTTTACTTAATTCTAACTTAAAGATGAGCTAAAAGAGCTCTAAACGGACAACTCAGGGAGGAGCAGGGCCTTGGAATGTTTCAGAATGAAAATAATTGCTGCTTTCTTCTGCCTCTCAAACTTGATACAGCGAACATTTCTCACGTCTATCTGAAATGTAATCATCCATTCGTAGGCATTCATTAGAAGCATAGCTCTGGGCTTACACAAAGAAGTTACTCAAAAATATTAGCGGACTGATCACATCAGAAATGAAATTTTGAAGGGCAGGTTGTTAATAACTAGGGAAAGACTTTGGGACCCCACCCCACCCCATCTGGCAAACGAGAACCAAGGCTTTCATGCCCTTTTCTGTCTTTGGTTTGCGCCTAAAGCAACCGGGATGATGATGGCCTTGGGGTCAAGGATATGTGGGCACAGAAGGATGCTGCATCCATGCCCAGGGCAGCTCTGCAGGTCCACTGCACCCCTCCCTCTTTATCGTGGGAAATCATCTGGGCCTCAGTGAGGAGCGCACAGAATTCTCATGGGGCTGTGTTCCCACCCTGCTGCTCTTTGTGCTGAGCCTGCTGAAGACACTAAGGCCCCAGTGCCAGGAGCAAGGTGCCACGGGCAGCCCAGACCATCAACCTGAAAGCCCAGACAGTTGCACTGTGAATTCAGTAATTCATTCACTCTTCAATAAATCTTTATCTAATTTTCCGGTAGGCCAGAAATTGTGCCAAACAGAGGCTACAAAAAATACTCCCTACACTTAAGGGAGAGAGACAGGACTAAAAAAAAAAACAGCAATTAAGTCTTGCTGCTGCTCTAGCTGTAGGTGTGTGGAGTGTGGGGTCTGAGGCCGGGGAAGCTGGCAGCAGAGTGGAAGGGGCCTGCCCACGTCCTCCTCAGGGGAGGGATGCTGATTCCATCTCATCTTCTCCTCAGAAACCCCACGATCCGGCCACTGTGGATGAGGTCCTGCGTCTGCTGGATGAAGACCACACAGGGACTGTGGAGTTCAAGGAATTCCTGGTCTTGGTGTTTAAAGTGGCCCAGGCCTGCTTCAAGACACTGAGCGAGAGTCCTGAGGGAGCCTGCGGCTCTCAAGGGTCTGGCAGCCTCCACCCTGGGGCCTCACAGGAGCTGGGGGAAGGACAGAGAAGTGGCACCGAAGTGGGAAGGGCAGGGAAAGGGCAGCGTTGTGAGGGAAGCAGCCAGGGACAGTGCGAGCAGGCTTCCAGAGGGCAGAACAGGCCTGGGGCTCAGACCCAGGGTCCAGCCACTGTCTCTGTGTGGGTCAGCAGCCATGACAGGCAAGCTGAGTTCCAGAGCCAGGAGAGAACAAGCCCACAGACACAGCTCTGGGGGCACACACAGCAGATCCAGGCAGTTGGTGAAGGCCAGAGTCTTCAGACCAGGGAGATGAGGCCAGAGAGACAGCCACAGACCAGGGAACGAGACAGAGCCCGCCAGACAGGTGAGACTGTGACTGGATCTGGAACTCAGACCCAAGCAGGTGCCACCCAGACTTTGGATCAGGGCAGCAGCCACCAGACAGGAGGCACCAGCACCCAGACACAGGAGTCCACCAGTGGCCAGAACAGAGAGACTGAGACCCACGGTCAAGGCAGGAGCCAGACCAGCCAGGCTGTGACAGGAGGACACGCTCAGACACAGGCAGGGTCACACACCCAGACACCCACTCAGACCATGGAGCAGGACAGCAGCCACCAGACAGGAAGCACCGGTACCCAGACACAGGAGACCACCAGTGGCCAGAACAGAGAGACTGAGACCCACGGTCAAGTCAGGAGCCAGACCAGCCAGGCTGTCACAGGAGGACATGCTCAGACACAGGCAGGGTCACACACCCAGACTGTGGAGCAGGACAGAAGCCAAACTGTAAGTCACGGAGGAACTAGAGAACAGGGACAGACCCAGATGGAGTCCGGCAGTGGCCAAAGATAGACACCAGTGAGCAAGCCTGAGGCAGGAGAGACAGTACCGGAGGGACAGGCCCAGACTGGGGCAAGCACTGCATCAGGAAGGCAGGACTGGAGCAGCCCTAGTGTGACAGAAAGGCAGGGAGACAGACAGCCCGCAGTGGTTGTTGAGGAATGGGTTGATGACCACTCAAGGGAGACAGCGATCCTCAGGCCAGACCATGGCAGCCTGCATCCAAGTGTTTCCTCAGCACAGGGCCAGGATGCAGCCCAGCCAGAAGAGAAGCAAGGCATCACCGCTAGGGAGCTGTATTCCTACTTGAGAAGCAACCAACCATGACTCCCCCTGACTCCAATGCCTAGTACTGGAAGAAGATAGCTGGAGACAGGTTGGCTTGTCCTGCATGGCCAGTCTAGTGGGTGCATCCCCGGACATCAGCTCTTTATTATGCAGCTTCTCTTTTAGGTCTTTCTCAATGAGATCATTTCTGCAAGGAGCTTTCTATCCTAAACTGCCCTCTCTTACCTGCTTTGCAGTGCAGACCCTCTCAGGAGCAGGAAGACATGGAGCAAGTAACTTTTTTGTACTGAACTGTCTTATCTTGTGGGGTTTTCAGAACTGTTTTTATCTCTGACATCTCTCTATTGCCCCATCTACCCTAATGCATCAATAAAATCTTAAGCAACTGGCCTCTACGTCTCATTCAATCACCTTCCCTTGACATGACAGGCCAAGGGCTGTAGAGTTATGAGATGATAAAGTGGACATAGTCCTTACCTTTGAAGAGCAAGTAATTGAGAAAATATTGTACGAGATTCCTACTATATATCATACTTCATACTTGGCAGAGATGGATCAGCAAAGGTTTCATACAAAAGGTGTTTTCTTTATGATGGCCCTTAAAGGACAATTAGTATTTAGATAGGCAAAATTCTTTTTGGTCTTTCACTACCTCTGATTCTATAGTGTTAAACCTCTATCCGCCTGTCAGGTCACACAGGAAAGCTGATTGAAGATTACCAATAAATGGAAGAAGGCCCCTAGCGGCTGCGTAGGGAAAGAATGAGGCTTGTAAATTCTGGATATCAGCCCTTTGTCAGATGGGTAAACTGCAAAAATTTTTTCCCATTCTGTTGGTTGCCGATTCACTGTAGTGACTGTTTCTATCCAGAATTCACAAAGAGCTAAAACAGATTTACAAGAAAAAAACAAACAAGCCCATTCAAAAGTGGGCAAAGGATATGAACAGATACTTTACAAAAGAAGACATACATGAGGCCAACAAACATATGAAAAAATGCTCATCATCACTGGTCATCAGAGAAATGTAAATCAAAACCACATTGAGATGCCATCTCACCCCAGTTAGAATGGCTATCATTAAAAAATCTGGAGACAACAGATGCTGGAGAGGATGTGGAGAAATAGGAACACTTTTGCACTGTTGGTGGGCGTGTAAATTAGTTCAACCATTGTGGAAGACAGTGTGGCGATTCCTCAAAGACCTAGACATAGAAATTCCATTTGACCCAGCAATCCCATTACTGGGTATATATCCAAAGGATTATAAATCGTTCTACTATAAGGACACGTGCACACGAATGTTCATTGCAGCACTGTTTACAACAGCAAAGACCTGGAACCAACCCAAATGCCCATCGATGATAGACTGGACAGGGAAAATGTGGCACATATACACCATGGAGTATTATGCAGCCATAAAAAACGATGAGTTCGTGTCCTTTGTAGGGACATGAATCAACCTGGAAACCATCATTCTCAGCAAACTGACACAAGAGCAGAAAATCAAACACCACATGTTCTCACTCACAGGCAGGTGTTGAACAATGAGAACACATGGACACAGGGAGGGGAGCAATACGCACTGGGGTATGTTGGGGGGAAATAGGGGAGGGAAAGTGGGGGGTGGGGAGTTGGGGAGAGATAGCATGGGGAGAAATGCCAGATATAGGTGATGGGGAGGAAGGCAGCAAATCACACTGCCGCGTGTGTACCTATGCGACAATCTTGCATGTTCTTCACATGTACCGCAAAACCTAAAATGCAATAAAATAAATTTAAAAAAAAAGAAAGAATGTGGCTTGTGTTACCAGGTACTGAGCCAGGGGCCAAAACTCTGTACTTCCCTTCCTACCTCACCATCAGTGTCAGCTCGGACCTCTTGTGATGTTTTACCCACCAGATACAAACCATGTTGTGGGGCAGAGACTATCAATTCTGGTTTATTACAAGAGTGACCAGAACAGTTCTCAAAGATTTATAAACCTGACCCTACAGATGCTGGTTCTAAGGTGTGGAGCCAATATTGTTTAGAAATTCCTTGGGGGATCTTGTGCTTTTGTCAGTACACAAGACTAGATACTCAGAAAGATTTCCGAAGATAAAATAACTCGATCCTTCGTAAAGCATATTTTTCACGGAGTTAGTTGTTTATAGGAAGTAAGGGAAATAGCCAAGGAAAAAACAAAATGTGGGATAAGCAACAACAAAACGTAAGCTAAAGAACGACCTCCTAAGACATCCAGGACCTGGGAATACGTCACCTTATATGGAAAAGGGACTTCGAAGATGTGATTAAGTTAGGGATTTTGAGATGGGGGGAGGTTATTCTGGATTATCTGGGTGAGTCCAATATAATCATAAGGTTTCTATAAGAGTGAGACAAGAGGATCAAAGTCAGTAAAAGGTGGCGTGGTAATGAAACTAGCGGTTGTAGCTATGTGCTATGAGCCAAAGAATGTGCAGAGACTAGAATCTAGAAAAGGCAAGAAATTTTCCTCTAAAATCTTCAGAAGTAACATAGCCCTTCTGCCACCTTGATTTGAGATTTATGACCTTCAAGGCTGTAAGAGAATAACATTTTTGTCATTTTAAGGCATTAATCTTATGGTAAACTATTACAGTAGTGATAGAAAACCAAAACACCAAACAAAATCCTAGAGCTGGTGTCAGAGAGGTAAAGGGTAAATGTGTGAAAGGCCAGGTGGTTCTTCTGAGGACAAATGGATTTCATATCCATTCACATTGGCTTATATGTATAAAGTCCGAAGAAAAACAGCAAAGAAATGCAAAGACTCAGGGAATATTGCTCCCATAAGCCCTTTCTGGGGGAACCACTAGAGAATAAGTGCACATACACACACACACACACACACACACACACACACACACACACACACACACACACACACAAAACCCAGAATCACAGAGCTGTCTGGCGTACAATCTGATGATGCACATTTAAATATATTTAACTGTGGAACTAAGACTACATATGTGGATAAAGGTGACAGAATAGCATTTCATGTTGTATGCATTGAAAACTTAAATATAAAACAGTCAACAAAAAAATGAAGGGAGAAAGAGAAGGCATACAGAAAGTAGAGTCAGCTCTCTGATGGTCTTATGTACGCATACGCCTACAAGGAAAAACTGGGAGTAAAAGGATATCACTTCACATTAGATACTGAGGAAGGAAGAAGGAGGGTAGGGTGAAAATTTCCAGAAAATTTCATTATTACTTAGAGTAGGGAGTGAACATGCCATTTATAAAGGGAAGGGGGAATACAGAATACATGTTACATAAAGATGTACCATAAGGTAACAATACAAACATGAGCCTTCCTCAACACCAAAAGACATTTTAGAAAAAAGCAAACACCACAGACAACAGAGGGCATGATGTTATTTATGTAAAAGATATATGTTTTCATAAATAGGACATAAAAGAGTGTGATAGACTGAGGTCAAACATATTTATAATAATAATGTCCAGAGCCAAAAACTCACTGTTAGAAGAACAAGTTTTCATATTAGCTCTATACAAGTCTATGCTCCTTACGAGAGGTATCCGAATCAAGGAGAGTCGGAAAACAATCCATAAAGGGGGTGATTGTGTTGATACAGATCAGGAAAGTGCAGATTAAACAAAATTTAGAAATCAGGAGTCATGATCTTGCTCCCAGACTAGATCAAAACCATTCAATAAGACTAAGAATGATGCTTTAAAATGCCAAATGCAATAATTTCACAATGAAGATATAATGGTTTTTAATATGCATTCAATAATGTAGCACAACTCTGATGAAGCAGAAACTACAAGAGATACAAGGACAAAATTAAAGAAAATAACATAGCAATAATAGGGCACTTGAATCATCTCTCTCAGCTCAAGACAGTAAGTATAGAGAAGAAACAGTACATTCAATAAGATGTAAAGAACGCTACAGACATATAGCCCAGCAATGTATTAACCTAAAAAGAAAAATCTATACCTTCTACACATGAAATATTCAATATCAGGTCACAAAGAAAACTTCAATGCATTATTCAAAAACAGAAATAGGCCCAGGTGCGATGGTTCATGCCTGTAATCCCAACACTTCGGGAGTCTGAGGGAGGCAGATCACTTGAGCTCAGGAGTTCAAGACTAACCTGGGCAACATAGTAAGATCCCATCTCAACAAAAAGAAAAATGCAAAAATTAGCTGGGCATGGTGGTGCACACCTGTAGTCCCAGATACTCTGGGACCTGTAGGGATTTACTGGACTTCCTTGACTTTTAAAGTTTCCACATAGAGGCTTCTTTCAAAAAATGGGCATGTTATTTTAGAGACAAGAGGGAACATTTCTGGAAAATACAGAGACTTGATGGGAATTACCTATCTTTATAGTTTCTAAGACGGACTCTATTTTGTTCAAAGGATAGAGAAACCATCCATCCCAATCATATCAAACACATTAAAATGCACACACACACCACTTAAATATAATCTTTGCTGAAAATTTTTTGAGAACATTTTTATAGTTTTGTTTATGGAATTAAGACATAAGTTGTACATTTGCCTCATTTTAGCTACGACTTATTTGCAACTACAGAGCCCATTTTTGAGAAAAATATAAATATTAAAATTGCTTAACCAAAATTTTTCATTAATACTAAATTTAACAATAAATGAGATTCACAAAGCTTTATATCTAGACATTTAAATTTAAGTGCTTATAAATTTCCTTCGCACATTTGTTTTGGAGCTGACACGTATACCTATGGAAAGGCAACTATTTATTTTATTTTATTTTGTTTTGTTTTTGCAAACAAGAAAAGCTTTTATTTTAAACCACAAATTGTCAGCAGGTAGTTACAACTATTCATGTTTTATTAAAATCACATAAAACCTAGGTACAAAAGCACCACTGATTATTGCTCAAGAAAAACTGCATGAAAAACTCAAATATGCACAGTAAAACTATAACACCACAGTTTGCACAGCACTAAATTTTGTATGCCAACTAGTAGAGTCCTAAAAAATCAGCATTTACAAAATACTAAGTAAAAACGGCTTTTAAAAGTTGGCCCAAGAGATACATAAAATCGACCCCAATTTTTCATGACAATTCATTCTCCCTGGTTATCTACAGATTCAGTTTTCTGTGCCCCTTCAGCCTTAGTTTCACCATTTCCAGATGGTGTAGTACTTTCCTTTCCAGCTTTCCTTCATTCTTCGCTTTAACACCTCTGTTAACCTCTGCTCCAGGTTCTTTCTTAGCAGATGTTTTTCTTGGTCTGGGTTTAGGTTTTGGTGGAGCAGGTTTTGCTGACAATCTGGCAGACAATTTTCTGAGCTCCTGTTTAGTTACTTTGGATCCATCTTTGCCCTTTGTATTCTCT